ACATGGGAGATCACTCACATGAACACTTTTTCATGATGTGCAGAGACATTGGAGATCGCTCATATGAACACCCTTTCATTCTGCCCAGGAACATGAGATATCGCTCACGTGGACACCCTTTCATTATGCCCAGAGACATGGGAGATCGCTCACATGGATACCGTTTCAAGATGTTCAGAGACATTAGCGATCGCTCACTGGAACACCCTTTCAAGGTGTGCAGAGACATGGGGGTTGGCTCACATGAACACCCTTTCATGATGCGCAGAGACATGGGAGATCGCTCACATGGACACCCTTTCATGATGCGCAGACACATGGGAGATCGCTCACACGGATACCGTTTCAAGATGTTCAGAGACATGGGCGATCGCTTACTGGAAAACCCTTTCATGATGCGCAGAGACATGGGGGTTGGCTCACGTGAACACCCTTTCATGATGCCCAGAGACATGGGAGATCGCTTACATGAAAACCCTTTCATGATGTGCAGAGACATTGGAGATCAATCACATGGACACCAATCATTATGCCCAGTGGCATGGGAGATCTCTCACTGGAATACCCTTACATTATGCCCAGACACATGGGAGATCGCTCACACGGATACCGTTTCAAGATGTTCAGGGACATGGGCGATCGCTCACTGGAACACCCTTTCAAAATGCCAAGATACATGGGAGATCGCTCACTGGAATACCCTTTTATGGTGTGCAGAGACATGGGGGTTGGCTCACATGAACACCCTTTCATGATGCCCAGAGACATGGGAAATCGCTTACATGGATACCCTTTCGAGATTCCCAGAGACAAAGCCGTCTCTTAATATGTATGCGTGACCCTGAGGTCAAACTCCAAAACGAGGTTATCCCCGCAAGCTGTCAAAATGGCATCGGAGCATCGCATGCGTGTCAGATACGAGCTGCAATAAATCTATGAGTTGTTCCGGTCGATTTATCTTTGCGGAAACGATGACTGGCAGCCATCCGACAAGTTAAAGGAAAGTTGTTCACCGTAAGTCATAATTTTCATTCATGTTTCTGCAAAACTGAAGAGCGAATATCGCCTATCAACTATTGATTTTATCGCAGCTTACATGACGTTTCAGTACGAAATACTCGTTCTTTTTCTGAATACAACATTGATTTCTTTTCTCGTCACATAAATACTACATGTCACATAATACTACATGTATATCTATATCTATCTATCTATATATATATCTATATATCTATCTATCTATCTATATCTATATCTATACATGTAGATATAGATATATAGATATATATATATCTATATATATAGAGGTTATCACGCGAGTGTGTTTGGAGATGGTAAATATCCTGCATTAGGAATAAACATTGTATATTGCGAGCCTTGGCGAGCTAAATTCATAGTGTTTATTCCTAATACAGGATATTTACCATCCCCAAACACACAAGCGTGATAACCTCTTAATCATATATTGTCATTCTTTAATTCTGTGCTTCAAAATCGCTTTCCCTCTCTCACAAACATTACCGAAACATTGCGAGTTTTCCTGGAATGCGCGCATTAATATTTATTACGTCACAGGGTAAGTGATGTGTCAGTCGGACAGTGACAGTAGCCAATATAGTTCCAACTGAAATCTGTTTCTTATACAGTGGCGAAGCAATTACATATACGCAAAACAACAATTGTTTTAATTGCCTTTCGCGGCAATCCATCGGTCTGTCCGCTAGAGTAACTGCCCTTTGTCAAAGGGAAGCTACTCTGACCCTAGTTTATGAGACGTCACAGTCACGGTCAGACGTTGTTGACAGTCGGTCTGTCCTGTCATAACGTTAAGAAGTGTAGGCAGATGTACACACAGCGACAAAACGAAACAAGGTAACAATTCAAACATATTTCGGCCAAATCCAACTATTTTAATTTGTGGAGAAGGTTTCAAGCCGCAGAGGTCTACAAGCACAGATATGGCTACTGATCTCACTTGGCTAGGCCTCGTGCCCTCGCAAAATTGTTTCGAAATTTATATCTCCAAAGTTGCCAAAACTTATAAAATGCCTTAGCTACGTCACAGTTAGACACTGATTTTCAGTATATTAAACTGTTCTTTTGATAATGATAGCAATTATCCCTGTAGTTTATCCTGATGCCCGATCGTTAATTCTGACTCGATCGCCGAATGACGAGGACGACGCCATGTTTGTTTATAAACAGTGAAACTAGTCCCTGCTTGACCTTTGATATTTGCATCTCTATCCGCATATGACCCCAACGGATATCGTTTTTATCCGTTGGCTTTATCCTGCCGAGAAACCTACCCATTATATGATAAATATATATATATATAGATATATAGATAAGATATATATCATATATAATTCATATACTAGTATATATATCCTGGGTGTCGTTGTACAAAGCGATATTAGCGTATAGGTGATCGTAACTCCCATACCTCAACATATATCGACAGATTTAGGACTGAGGTTGTTTTGTACAACGGCACCCGGGAAGTTATATATATACTAATGTAAGTCACAAAATGATAACATAACAAATTTCAAACAATTACATTTATTCTGGTCAGAATATGCGTATTTCTAGATTGGAAATGGACTACACATATAAAGCTAAAATGAGTGAGTGAGGGAGTGAGTTAGTTGGGTTTAACGCCGCTTTTAACAATATTCCAGTTATATCGCGGCATGTCGGCTTAATGTGTGAGGAAAGCCCGAAGTGATACAGGTCTCAGACGTTTACCGCGAGCCACGAGCTAGGGGTATGGTGCTGACAAATCTAGAAACATAATCGGGGCAAACCGAGATTCAAACCCATAATCATAGGTATCTGGAGTGCCCAAGGGACGCGACTCTGCACAGCGAATCGCGGCGCCTTAGACGACTGGGGCCACCCGTGCCCCCTATAATGCTAAAATGAATGCTTATACAGACATAAATATATGATGCATAAAACACTTACAGTTGTTTTAATTTATGCTTTATTGGTTTCATCTTTACGATTTATATTCATACACAATTGAAAAATAATTGGGGGGACTTAAATGAATTGAATGTTTTATATTTCAGACCTAGATTTGTATTTTGTAAACAAGTACACCCCAGTGCAAAGAATACTGAAATCAGGGACAATCCCATCCATATTTGCATGGACTGTGGCCACAACACCATGGAAGCCCACCTTGATCCTATAGGCCAGAACAATATAGTGTCAGAATTTACTACTATCCACTTTGATAATATGTGTATTAATAAATGTCATAAATCAAGATGGCATTATGAAATATTTTTTTTACTTTATTTATAAAACATTTATATACTATCCAAAAAAAAGAAACGCATAGGTGTTACTGATATGTCAAAACGAAAATATTGCCTATTATATTCATATTATCGTCAAAATATGTATCAATATTGGTAAGAGCATCAATTGACACACTTCCGTTTGCAACAAATCGATTTTGCTTGAAAATGTTGACTTTGATGTGGTTTTTTGAGAATGAGTAAGAAATGCATCGCCACAACGCAAAAAGTGGCATCTTGCACGTTGAAATTGGGCAGAAAAAGCATGCAGTGTTTGGCAATAAAAAGCAAGCTTGCTTTCGGAAATAGGCATTCGTTCAGATGTTCCAAGCCAAATGAACATGCCACGTCTTGATGCTGCTGTTGGATGAACTTGATCGCCGTCTCCGTCAGCGTCAACATCAACCCCAAACTCTCCAGACACTAGCTGCATTTCTGCAGGAGGAGTGGCGGAGGATTCCCCAGGCCGTTATCCAGCGTCTCATCCAGTCCATGGCAAGGCGTGTGAGAACTGTTATTCGTGCACGTTAACGTTGTGGGCACAACATATATTGATACTCCATTCACGTTTGAGGAATATTGTGAATGTCTTACCTCAAGTTATGGACATCATTGTATAGACATTGATCTCTCCTAAACGGATGTAAAATTCCATGTACTCAAGTTTATTTACTACCAAGTTATTCATGTTTGAATATACATTTTCTCAGCAAATACGGGTTATGCGTTTCTTTTTTTTAATAGTATATTAAATTAGAATAATTTTGTTTGTAGTGTGAAGAGAACCTGGTTCCAGGAGGAGGTGTGATGGACATGAGGCTGAAGGGAATGAGCATCTCACACAGAATGAGGGCCGTGAGGCACGATTTGAAATAAAGGAGATGCAGGCCCATGTCGAACAATTTGAGAGGGAGACCCATCTATACACTAACATTTAGTCTCTGAAATCTTATATTACACAATATCCTTTTTGACTCTAAAAGTAAAAAAAAGTCCCTATGCTGATTTCAGAGTGTGGAATAGAGCTAGCTAGAGCTGGCTAGAGAACTGACCCCTGTTTCATTTCATATTTAATTTCTTTAATGATTGTGATACTTTCAATAATGTTTTTATTTTGATCAACCCAGTGCCACCAAAATGCGTAGCATGTATTATGTTTGTTCTGACACTGTTTCCTTGGCTGGAAGACCCAAGACGATGTTGTGACTGCACTGAAATAAAAATTCAAATCCAATGTGCCTTTGTCAACTACTCACAAGTTTTATACCTTTTATAAAACTAGCTGTCCACTCTAAAGCCTGATTGGTATAGACCCTCATGATGCTGTGATCTTTGTATCATGTTTGTCTATAGGTGGTATGTCTGATGTTGAGATGACAAAGCTGTGAAGTGTTTGGTATTTTTCTTGATCTTATTCAACCAGGTGATAGTGTGGGGGCTGACCAAGGCTTTACTATTGCACTACTTTGCACACAAGAAAAAGTCTCAATATCCCCCCTTTCCTATTTAACTGTGGACAGTTTTCTGCTGAATAAATAGGAGAAATACAAACCTTAACATCCTTGAGAGTCCATGTTGCAAAATTTGCAAAACTATCAATCAGCTGTGGACAGTTGCTTGATTATGGTTTCCCTTGTGCACTCTTATAGAATTGTGCTAAAATTGCCTGTGAGAGATAAAAGTGTCAAATCGACGCAAATATTTTATTACACAATGTACATACATTGTATTTAAACTGATGTGCACAGCACTGGCTCGATCTGTCTGATGGCAGACAAACAGTTTGTTGCAGAAACACTCACTTCAGAACAATCTGAAAATACATTTAGGTCGTGAAGAAATACATGCAGATGTCAATTGTATGAATAATATTTAATAAGTGTTCTACTATTAAACTGTTCAAACATTGTGCCGAGTCACTTTGACTTTTTAAAAAAACATATTTTCTATAATTTACATAAACAGCAATAATCTGCATGGTCAGTTACCCAGAATTATTGTTGCAGTTTAATGTAACTTCCATACCCATTGATTCAAATTAATTTCATTAATTGAACACGCATACGACATATTTATTTCATAGTCCTTACCTCTAAGTTATGAGGGATTTCGTTCTTCCCCATAGATCGAGTCAGGACACAGGAATCCATCGCACGATGCTGGAAATATAATAATTACCACATACACACATTCAACTATGAAACAGAACTGAATTTCATGGAAGATTTGTGGATAATCGTGGATGATTATGGTTTTATACAAAAAAACTTTTTGGTTCTATGGCCAAAATCATTTGCATCTATGACGGTTGCAATATACGTGACACAGTATACACTATAACCTTTATAATAATTATATTTAATTATAGAGTACCGTAGTACCCCAAAACACAAGAATTAATATAAATAAAATATAGCGCTGGCACACATTTAAAGGGCTGGATATCAGTCATTATGACTGTCTTAGCCCATTCATGTTACGCCCCTCAAAATCAGTTCAAAACAGCAGCATATGGCATGAAAGGTAACGTGACTTGTCAAAGTGGTCATTGTTATTTAGTGTAAAATCACAATATATCTACTTTTAATGCTGTTGATGAACCCATCCCTTGTTCAACGGTGAACTCCCCGCGCTCTTCGATTGACTTTGACCAAAATTCTCGACGAAGCTGAACGAGACATGCAAGACGAGCGATAAGTCACTTCCGGGTGTTTGAAATCACTTCCGCCATTCGGGGAAAACCTCGTTTTGCAGTTTGACCTTGGGGTCATGCATAAGTCTATGGGAGATCGCTCACTGGCATACCCTCTCATTATGTGCAGAGACATGGGAGATCGCTCACATGGACACCCTTTCATGCCCAGAAAATAGGTCTTCAGCAACCCATGCTTGCCATAAAAGGCGACTAACGGGATCGGGTGGTCAGGCTCGCTGACTTGGTTGATGCATGCCATCGTATCCCAAATGCGTAGATCGATGCCCATGATGTCAATCAATGGATTGTCTGTTCCAGACTCGATTATTTACAGGTCGCCGCCATATAGCAGGAATATTATTGAGTGCAGCGTTAAACAACAAACAAACAAAACAAAACAAAACAAACATGGTAGATCGCGCACATGGACACCCTTTCCTGATGCCAAGATATAGAGATTATTACACGAGTGCCTGTCAGATACCATTTATCTTCCAACGAGTATCTGACAGGCACGAGTGCAGTAATCTGTTTCTTACACATCCTAATATCAAACCTTTTTAGAATCGACTCGATGCATTTTGTCTGTTCTTATGATCGCAGTGGCGCATTAATACATAACACACCGGTCAAGTCATGAGTGACGTCATCCGACGTACTGCTTACTATTCATAAATAATGTGACCCTACAACTAAACCTGAAAACGTTTCCGCCATCTGTGGATTACAAAGGCGATGATGATAGTACAAACTAGATCAAAGAACCCGCAGTCACCCAAATATGTACAACAATGTTTACTGCCGTATGGCATCACTGCCGGTGACCGACTTCTACAAAATGGCGTGTTCACTGACAACAGAGGATTTTTCACAGGAGGATTTTCTTTGATTGGGGGTTGGTATATACATAAATGTGTCATGTAAGTAATCAGAAACAATCAGACAATCTGCGTACTGTTATTTGTTTTTATGTTTTCAAATGTTACCAAGAAAATTTGTCAGAAATGGAGATAGATCTAACTACCATCGTCGTTGACGTTGTGCGTGGCTTTGCGTCAGTCATGGCGTCACATAAGACGGAAACTTTTACAATTGTAATGTATGTATTTTTAATTCCATAATTCGTGCTACGATACTCTTCCCACGAATATTCGCAAACTCGTCAGCCAATGTATGCAACAATTTTGCTTTGTGTACATTTCAACAAGTATAGTTTTCCGAGCACAGTGTTCGTTTCCACACCTATTTTATTTATTTCGCTTGATGCCATCTTGATTTGTATTGGTGACAAAGACCATTTGTCATTTGTTTCGAAAATGTATGAGGAATTCAGGGAAGCATGTATAGCAGTTGAGTTTGAAATATACCTGATCCTATAGGCGTCTCATAACCCGCATACGTGAAACGTGATTTTGTAAACACTATCCAATATGGCGGAAAGTGAACTTCGGCGTTCGTGTTTGCGTAGTTTCCAAAACATTCCAAACGATTCCAAGTTCCTCGGCGACGTTTCAGAATTATCATTTGTGTTTTGCTGAAAAACAGATTCCCGTGACCGCTAATATGCTATTTTTGAAATTCAATCCTTCGACTAAATATCCGTCATATATATTTCTAAACACGCAGTAATTTTGTTTTGCCTAATATGACTGTGGGTGATATCACAGAAGAGGGAATTTCCAACAGAATTCAAAACGTTTAGTGTGAGGGATGTATTTCGAATTTTAGTCGACTTCGAAGTGTGGGTTGAAGAGGAGACACATATATTCTCCCGCTATAACGAGGGTTGTGGTGTCAACAGGCATTGTAAATACTCAGATGATAGCTTGATTTTTAGATAAAGCTGTCTTTGATAAGTGAATGAGATGTTTTACGGTTCTTGTGATTAGCGAATGTTTCTTAAGCGTCCGAAAACCAATAACACGGGAATATATCTATTAACACTCTAAAACCATTACGTTCAACACAGACGTAGGTGGACATTCGACAGGAGCACGAGCAACTTATCAATGACTTACACACTCTCCTACCCAGAGTTCCTTTGCGGTCGGCAGCCAGCGCCATGTGACGATTCGTCACATCTTAGACAGTCCATTCAAGATATTCCATATACTTGTCGTACTACACATTTTGATAAACAAATGCCAAAGAATGGTTACAGTTCGTTAAGAAGGTATCCTAAAACGTGAAAATCTACTTCCATTTGCGTAGTTAAACCTTTGTTTACATTGGTTGTCCGGCTCCACGTGCTGTCATCTGAGCCCCACGGAGAGCTAGTTTATACGGTCACATCGTCATGCACCTCACTGTCGCAGTTGTAGTAGCATATCTATATAATTACGCAAAACAATGTGTTAAGCGAACCGAAAGGCTTGCATTAGGCCAGTCTGTTGGGTTTTCAGAATAAGCGCGCTCGTGTACAAACAAGAGAAAAGTCCGGTCACGTGATATGCAAATTAGCCTTTTGCAGTGGTGTTATGCTAAGTCACCACTGCGCCGGAGAGTGTGACTTACGATCTTGAAAGTAGTCCGTCATAATTTGACCTTAGGTCATCACCACGGAGTAGCCAATCACTGGCCTGGAATTTGATTTCACACATATGTTTGATACAAGTTATCTCAAATGGGGTTCCCACCCACAGGTGTGTAAGAAACATGGGAGATCGCTCACTTGAATACCCTTTCAAGATGTGCAGAGACATGGGAGATCGCTCACATAGACACCCTTTCGAGATGCCAAGATACAGAAGATCGCTCACTGGAATACCCTGTCATGATGTCGGAGACACGGGTGAGCGTTCACTGGAACACCCTTTCACCCTTTTCACCTAGCACTACATTGACGCGAGCCGTGTTCCACAGTGGAGCTAGCACTACATTGACGCCAGTCGTGTTCCACAGTGAACCTAGAAATACATAATTGACGCCAGCCGTGTTCCACAGTGAACCTACCACTACATTGACGCCAGCCGTGTGCCACAGTGAACCTAGAAATACATAATTGACGCCAGCCGTGTTCCACAGTGAACCTACCACTACATTGACGCCAGCCGTGTGCCACAGTGAACCTAGCACTACATTGACGCCAGCCGTGTTCCACAGTGAACCTAGCACTACATTGACGCCAGTCGTGTGCAACAGTGAACCTAGCACTACATTGACGCCAGAAGTGTTCCACAGTGAACCTAGCACTACATTGACGCCAGGCATGTTCCAGTGAACCTAGCACTACACTAACGCCAGCCGTGTTCCACAGTGAACCTAGCACTACATTGACGCCAGCCGTGTTCAACAGTGAACCCAGCACCACATTGACGCCAGCCGTGTGCCACAGTGAACCTAGCACTACACTGACGCCAGATGTGTTCCACAGTGAACCTAGCACTACATTGACGCCAGTCATGTGCCACAGTGAACCTAGCACTACATTGACGCCAGCCGTGTGCAACAGTGAACCTAACACTACATAATTGACGCCAGCCGTGTGCATCAGTGAACCTAGCAATACATTGACGCCAGCCGTGTTCCACGGTGAACCTATCACTACATTGACACCAGCCGTGTGCCACAGTGAACCTAGCACTACATTGACGCCAGCCGTGTTCCACAGTGAACCTAGCACTACATTGACACCAGCCGTGTGCCACGGTGAACCTAGCACTACATTGACGCCAGCCGTGTTCCATAGTGAACCTAGCACTACATTGACGCCAGCCGTGTGCAACAGTGAACCTAACACTACATAATTGACGCCAGCCGTGTTCCACAGTGAACCTAGCACTACATTGACGCCAGACATGTTCCAGTGAACCTGGCACTACGTTGACGCCAGACGTGTTCAACAGTGAACCTACCACTACAATGACGCCAGTCGTGTTCCACAGTGAACCTAGCACCACATTGACGCCAGCCGTGTTCCATACTGAACCTAGCACTACATTGGCGCCAGCAGTGTTCCACAGTGACCCTAGCACTACAGTGACGCCAGACGTGTTCCACAGTGAACCTAGCACTACATTGACGCCAGACATGTTCCAGTGAACCTGGCACTACGTTGACGCCAGACGTGTTCAACAGTGAACCTACCACTACAATGACGCCAGTCGTGTTCCACAGTGAACCTAGCACCACATTGACGCCAGCCGTGTGCCATATTGAACCTAGCACTGCATTGACGCCAGCCGTGTTCCACAGTGAACCTACCACTACATTGTCGCCAGCCGTGTTCCACAGTAAACTTAGCACTACATTGACGCCAGCCGTGTTCCACAGTGAACCTAGCACTACATTGACGCCAGCCGCTTTCCACAGTGAACCTAGCACTACATTGACGCCAGCCGTGTTCCACAGTGAACCTTGCACTACATTGACGCCAGCCGTGTTCCAGAGTGAACCTAGCACTACATAATTGACGCAAGCCGTGTGCCACAGTGAACCTAGCACTACATTGACGCCAGACGTGTT